AGAATCACCTGGGAATCTTTTTAAAATCCTGATTTCTGGGCCTCATCCTCCAGAAATTCTGTTTCTTTGTTACTAATGTTGTGACCCCACCCATAACAAAGAGACAGAATTTCTGGAGGATGAGGCCCAGAAATCAGGATTTTAAAAAGATTCCCTTGTGCAGCCAAGGTTGAGAACCACTGTTTTAGGTGATAGCCTTGTTTCTGTCCTGGCTGTGTGTGTGTGTGTGTGTGTGCGCATGTGTAACAAAGCAGGCGAGCCATCCAAAAGATGAGCACATTAGAGAAAGTAGTTTTCTCTGGCAATAGTTCCCCTTATGAGCTTTTGTTCAGCATATAACTGCGCATTTGGAACAAAGATGAGCCCTTATAAATCATGGATATAGAGATTAATTTTTCTGGCCCTCCCAGTAAAGTGAACATTAAATAAACGAGTCTGAGAAAACAAGGGTGGATCTCCTCAAGAGAGCCATATTTAGGTCCCATTTAAGGCCTTTCCCAACCAGCATTCCATTTAATTCAGGCTTTTTCTTTTCATCGACAGGTTCCCAGACACCCTAAACAGACTTGAAAATTTCAGTATTATTTAAAAGCAAGACTAGATTAAGATGCTGCTCAATTTTTCTGCCTATTTTCACAACATAAACCCTACAGTTCCCTTCCCTGCAAATGGAAAATAATTTACAGCATTGCTTTTCAAAATGCTGTGCAGAACCCACGGGTCCTGGAATTATATGGGGTATTTTATAAATGCATCTTCCTGGACCCTACCCACTGGACTACACACTCTGGGGTGGGGCCCAGCGGATCTAATCCACAGTTTTCAAAGCTCTTCGTGTGACCTTAATGCACAGGAAAGTTCGAGAACCACATACTTAAAGGGCATATGACCATTATCTTTAGAGAGTTAGCTTGATTACTGCATACTTGTTGAATTAATTTCTACATTGAAAACCCAGAAATATGTAGAATAAATTATCTGCCAATTGTTCTAATTTGCCTTTTTAAAAACTGCAACTTTAATTCATGCCTTTATATCAATGCCAGGAAAGCACAGAAGTACCTAGAAAAGCTTCTATTTCTTCTGCTCAAAACGGGTTTCTTTACTTTTCACAGAGAAGCCTGGAAGTCGGGCACCAGTACCTCCTCCTGCCCCAAATGGCCTTTTGGATTTTCAAATTAGCAAGATATGTCTCGCAGATAAATTTGATGGAGTTTCCCATCCAGCTTATCAGTTAGGAAGATTATCAGAAAATGAAACATCAGGCAAATGAAGCAGATCTAACAAGAAAGGAAAAGCCATAAACCATGTTTACACCGAGAGGGTTCCTGGCGGGGACCTGGGCCATGGAATGAGTGAGCTGCTGAGGGCCACACAAAGGTATCGGGTTTGGGATGAGAATGAAGATGAGAAGATACAAACAGGTGGAGAGAAGATTCGGTTCTTGAAAGAGAAGAGGAGGAGGAGGAATCTGACACTAAAAAGTGAAGAGAAAAAAAAAAGGATAAAAGCAAAAAAACTTTAGAAACACAAAGAAAAAATAAAACTAGCTTTTAATATACTCACATAAGCTGCAAAGAAAATGAGGTCATGTCATACACAATCATTCCTCTACTTGACAACAGAATACAAGTGTTTTTTAAAGAAAACGATTCTGTTGTTTCCCGTTGGTTATTTAATTGCTCTGCAGTAACAGCATGGAGTCAACACCACTCAGGTTTACCTGGGCACCGATGCAGCCATAGACCCACTGAAAAGAACACGTCTGTCACCGACAACACGCAGGGCATTCTGGGGGAAGCTATTTGCCTGTCCATTGTAAAGGGTGAGAGCTTGACTTTTCCTAGGTTTGCTCTTTATGAGAAGCACTTACACAGAGCGTACCGTGGCGCCTCGGTTCTCGGACCTAATGCGTTCCGGAAGGCTGTTCGAGGGGCGGTGTGTTCGAAAACCGAATCATTCCCCGCCCCCCCTCCAGAAGCAATGTGAATTGAATTAATCCGTTCCAGACCTCCAGATGATTCCCTGTTTTAACTTTTTTGTATCCAGCACCTGTCTAATGTACTGTTTAATCTATAAACAAACACTTCTTTTCTAAAATTTATTAAACCACCCGCTCCGCCCTCGTTCCAGGGGTGTCCTTCAGGTCAGCCTGCAGCATCTTTGCTTGTTCACATCCTATACCACTGCCTCCAAAAGGCGGTCAGCGGCTAACCGCTTTCGTTTATCCAATCAGCCGCGGTGTCCCCACCTCTTCAGTTGCCTGTGATCACTGTTTCTTTCACACCCTTAGCAACAGGAGCACCCCCGATGGCCGTTGTATGTTTTTAAGTTGTGCTAATCATTGATTCCGCCAGCCACAAAAGCATCCTCTCCTTTGTGTGTTGGCTGAGAGATGCTTTTTTTTTTTTTGTCATGCTAGGGTATCAGCCTGAAAGGGTTGGCAGTTTGAAAATTGAAGTTTGGTTCAATAACCCAGACATGTTTTCTGTGAGCAACTTGGTGAAGAACCAAATTGCATGAGATGGGAGATGTTGCAGAAATGAGGTTTGACTGTATGTATGTTTCCCCAGGTGCGGATACTGAGGTACAGGACATGCCAGGTCTCAGCCCGGGGCAGTGGGGCGCTAGCTCTCTAAGCTGGCCCGGTGGCTGTGCGCTGGGCACTGGAGAAGGGGCTTTATCTTTAACCCAACACTGCGCCAAAGCAAAATCATTCTTTTAACTGCATCCTGTTTTGGAGGCCAAGGGAAGAAAACACTTTTTTTCCACCCTCTATTTAAGGAACTACCGATTTGTTCTAAAAAAAGATAGTGATTTGCAGCTTCAGAGTTATGAATGTCACCCCACTGGATTCCTCTCTCCATGGCTGGGACCATTTGATGACGGGGGGGAGAGGGAGAGGCAGGAGGGCCAGAGGTGATGTTAGCTGGGAAATGATGTTCTTTAGGGGGGAGGGCTTTTCAATTTGCCACATCCATTTAATAAAACCCACAGCCAGTCCAAAGCTCCTAGACATGGGTTCCCCTAATGGGACTCCACAGATCTGTGTATGGACAATTTCAGAGGTGGAAACCCATGCTCTAAGTAACTAACCACTCCCCAAACCAAGCACTCCTCACCTGTATTGTATAATGACCTAGGTGTATAGCAATGGTGTTGTGCTAATACTTTTTAAAGGTTCTTATCTGTTTGACATATACACTGACATTTTAACAGGTGAAATATGATGTCTGGGCTTTGCTTTAAAATACTCTACAAAACCTGAGTGTGGGGCAGGAGAGATGGCTAGAAAAAGAACACTAGTTCCTGAAGGCTGGCAGCAGACACATGGGGATTCATTATATTATATTGTAGCTTGGTGTATCTGAGTATCTTCCACAGGAGAAGATAAAAAATAAATAGGGAGTGAATTTTTGTTCTGGAACAGAAAAACAAGGGATATAAGCGTGCCCGTGGCTTCACAAAGGAGTCGAGTGCAGTGGGCGGCGCAGCATCGGCAGGACCGTGAGGTGGAAGTTCACACGTCCACTGGCCACATGTCCTTGCCGACGCCAACAGGTACGGCTTTGCTTGTGGCGGATGCCCGTGCCCTTTAAGTCAGGGAGTTTAGAAGAACAGCGAGGCCCCGGAGGTAAAGGGGTCTGAGTACGACTGTCCTCGCAGGCTCCTGGGGAAGGGGCCCAGGAGGAAGACAGCCTGGTCCTGACAGCCGACCTTCCAATTCTAGAACGAGGGGGTTAGAGTCCGCTCTAGCAGGACTGGGCTGGTGTGAGTCAGAGTCTCTGCCTGGGCTGTAGACTACACCCAGTAAGGCCTGCAGATCAGTCCGGGCGGGACCATCGCAGGGGGAGGCGGAGTGCGGCTTGCCAGTCTGCCTTTGGTGCAGTGGCTGTGGGATGTTAAATGATAAACGCACTGGTGTGCAGTTCAGGCTGCTTCCTAGGCCCGATGTCCTTCTGACCTAGGGCCCTGGGATGGGGCTTCCCAAGCTGATTGTCAACTTGGTAACAGGGAGCCCAGCCCAGGGACGAAGCCTCCCGGCCGCTGCAACGCCGCCGGGCTTGGGTGGGTACCACAGTGGCTGCCAGAGGCCCTATCCCTCCCATCCTGACGGAGGAGAGCCTGCCAGGAGCCGGCTGTGCGTGCGTGCCTCAGGCCTGCTCCCTCGCTTCCTCTGGGGGGGGCTTGCTCAGGAGCTGGGACCTGGCCCCGGGCAGAAGAACCTGGAGGCTCCTCCCCAAAAGCCAGCCCGTGCAGAGCAGGCACACCCAGCCCGGGACTGGCCTCACGCGGGCCCCGGGGCAGCGGAGCAGCAGCAGAGCCCGGTTCGGAGTGATGCGCTGGAACTCCTTGAGGCTCAAAGCAGAGGGAACTTCTGTATCTGTTGTGGGTCTGTTGAGTCCTCCAAACTGCCACTGAACAGTCGGAATTACTATTAGAATTGCTTGTTGGGAGTGTTGGCAACGACAGGGGACTATTTATTCCTCTGTACTTAGGGGGATGGGGAACGACCAGTGAGAGGGAAGCACAGGCAATCTCAGAGGCGGGTCGTGCTGTGGGCCTCCACGTGGAACAGTGGAATCAGAGCTCAGAGCCCCCCCATCCCCTGCCTCCTACAGGCTCTGGTGCTGGATGTATGTGTGTCCACATGTGCAACTGATTAGAAAGCAAAACCTGGGTTTCAGCAAGGTCTGCAATCTAAAGCAAGAGGCAGAAACGGGAAAGCAGAGGGGAAGCTGTGGAGATGGGAACAATCTAATTTTAGTTTTGAATTTTAGGCTCTAAGAGCAAGGGGAAGAAACAGACAGCCCTCAGCGATGTGCTGGCCATGTCGCACGACTTCCCCACGGTGCGCACACTTGGAAAGGACACGGGGAAAGTGCCCCTCGGTTGAGTTTAACCGACTTGTGTGAGCTGTGCTCCCAGCCCCAGGGGCCGTCCTCATCCCCGTCCCTCGGAACCGGCACCATTCCACCCCGCCGGCTCTTCACTCTCACCTGTCTCTGGGTCGCTGAAGTCTGGCAAGGTGATCGTATTGAGCTGCCGCCTGTCCGCAATGGTTCTATCCAAGAGGCTGCTCCCGCGTCCAGAGTCACTGCCAAACAACAGCGAGGAATGTCAGCCATGTGAAGGGTGGGTGGGAGGAAACAGATCCCACCAATGCGGACCCCTGAAGAGCAGCTGTTGCCGTTGGGTGCATTTCTGATGCTCTTCGGCACCTTTCCATCTGTTACAGAGCACCTGCTTCCTGGCTGGGCTGGGACTGCTTTCAGCCATCAACATCACAGCGCGGCTTCAACCACACCCACAGACCTTGCTGTTTTCAGTCTCTTTTTGTCATTATCCTATCTAATAAAGAGGGGATATGCTAACTGACCCTCACGCTGTCACACCACAGCCAATAAGGAGGGAATATGCTAATTGCCTGTCCCACCCTCAAAGATGGCAGTGCCCACAGCCACAAGATGGCAGCGCCCAGTCCCCTCAGCCCCACCGAGGCGGCAGGTGTGCGGCAAGGCCAGGCCTGTCCCCAGGTGGGCCTTGAATAGCGGCTGCCCGAGACTCAGGTGACCAGGGCTGGCCGAGGCTTGCGCTGCTGGCAGTGGCAGCAGCAGAGATGTGATGGGCGTCGCCTTCCCCTGATCGCCAGTCGCCTCCCGCCCCTGAGGGCTCCTGGGCTGTGAGAGGGGGCAGGCCGGGCCGAGGGACCCCCCTCCAGTGCATGAATTTTCATGCACTGGGCCTCTAGTAAAATATAAAAACTACAAGCCCAGGGGCCCATCCACCTTACTCTGAATCCATAGCTCATCACGCCCGTACATGCCCTCCTCATGTGTCCACTCGGCGCCAGTGCTTCTTAGCCCTCGCCACGCAGGGACGTCGCCGGGCGCTTCTAAAACCACTCATGCCCAGGGCCCACTCCAGAGCACAAAATCAGACCTTCTGGGGCAGTCAACACTTCTCAAAGCTCCCTAGAAGGTTCTAATGTACAGGTGGATGCGAGGACCCCTGGCCCCTACTCTTCAAAGGGCAATCACAGCCATGGCCTCGTTTGTGTCCCAGAACAAGCCTTTAAGACAAATTGGGTGTTCGATACCCATTTGGCACATGAAGAAGAGGAGGCGTGAGGTCACACAGTGAGCGGGTCGTGGGTAGGGCTGGAGCCACAGTGCCGCACAGTGTTCCTGAGCCAGAGAAGTGGCCTTGTGGGGGGTGGGGGGCAGCCCAGCAGGTCGTTGGCCGCTTCCTGCACAAATCCCCTCTCCAGCTTTCTCCCACAGGGGACCCTCTCAGACGTAAGTGGAAGGACACACTGCTAAGGAACCTCCGCTAAACAGACCCCTGTTTTTGTTGTTGTTCTTTAAAAATTTGAGAAGCCTGTAAGCAAAAACAATATTATTCTTTTTTCCTCTCTCATGATAATTCCATCAAAGAACCTCCAAAAACAAGCTGATTTGTCTCTTGAATTGTGAGTCTTAAATACATTCCTTTGTCTGTTTGTTATCAATCTGGGGGCCCTAGGGGTGATATTTTTTGTTAAGAAGTTCAAATTCTACAATAAAGGAACACAGTTTCCTTCCTCGCTGCAGCTGTTGCGAAAAGTGGCACAAACAAGATTTGGTCTGAAACTTAATATGGTTTGCAGGCTGCAGTTTCCACCTCAGGGATGGAGCTGGAGAAATCCACAGGAAACAGGAGGAAGCCTGCTGCATTCAGGACAGAGGGCCGGGCCGCCCAGACGTTCTACATCCCCGGGCACATGTTTTCCAGAAACTGTCCTATTAGTTATTCCCACCACCAAGAAACAATAAATGTCTTTGAGCAGCAGATAACATAAAAGTACATGCAAATTTTCGTTGAACACATTACTGACTAAATGTTTCTAGCACGGGTCTATGTGTTTTTAATGCAAACATTACTAAAACATTACAAAAATAGGAATATTGCAGTGGCTCCCACTTAGGAGTTTTTCAGAAGACGTTATCTCAAAAGGGAGGGCATTTTCCATCATCTTGGGGATCCCAGACACCCCCTGAGCTGTTGGTGTTGAAAAGGAGGGTATGCCTGGGCTCCCATGGACCAAATCCGAGAAAGTGGATCAGAAATGTCTGTTTCAGCCACCATCCTGGAGGCTTTCCATCTCACCCCGTCTCGGAGCTCAGGGCTGGCTGCCACGTGTGATGCTGGGCCCTGGGACTCAGCGGGGACCTGTCCCTACATCTGTCCTATCAAGTAGGTCACGTTGGGCAAGGCCACTTCCTGTGCCGCAGAGACTCCCCATCTGATGGAGGAGTCAGAAGAGGTACAGCGTAGGCACACCCAGGTGTCATTATATACACCTGCACACACGCACCTGAGGGCCGTGTGGTTGGCTGATTTCTGGAGAAGTCCCAGCCGTCTGGTGCAACGGGCGGGCGGGGAGCCGGGTGATGGATCTCCTCCAACTCCAAATGGTGGAAACCCCAACTTAACCTGTGACCTTCACCCCCTGACAGTGACACGGCGTTTATTTCCCCTCCACCAGCCGGGAAACTATTTGGCTACGTTCCCTAGTTCCTTTGGAAAACAGAACATACGCATAACTATTCAACACGGAGATGCCGTGTTCTCCGCTCTGAATGCTGTGATGGATGAGGATGTGGAAGAAGGGGCAAAGGGGGCCCTGCCCACCCCGAGTCCCCGTCACTCCCTCACTCTGGCCAGTGTCTATCCCGGAAGCCTGGAAGCTGCTTTCTCTCTCTCCTGGTCACTTCTTGGCTACGTTCCCTAGTTCCTTTTGAAAACAGAACATACGCATAACTATTCAACATGGAGAAATCATGGGGAAATCAGGGTGAGCCGTAGTGATGGCTAAAGCTACAGGGGGGACCGGGAGCTTCTCTTGGGAATCCTCCATCTTTCTTCACACACGGAGGGTAACCAAGAGACAAGCCGGTGGTGGGCCAGGAGACGGAACCTGGGCTTCTTGTCGCAGCTTTGGCTCCTCCCAGCTCCGGGGGTGCCTAGCACACAATGAGCTGACGTGAGAGGGGGCCTTGGACAGGACACCCGATGCCTGGCCTCGTGCAGGATACTGAAGGATGGATTACAAGAGCCAAGGTGAGTTCCCAACATCCCGAACCTCAATTTTCCCATCAGTAAAATGGGTATGACATAACATGACATTTTCCCACTTTATAGGGCTACTTTCCAGATGGAATTGGGGCACACTTTGTAAAGAAAAAGTTCCACCAAAATGGCTGTGAATTAGTGTGAAACGGGGCCTCCAAATTCCAAATGAGGTTAGAGCAAAGCAACCATCTTAAAAAAAGAAACCCCAAACTTTAAATGCTATTATAAACTTATGAACAATAATAGATACAGAGGCAGAGCTGCCTCAAACGGAGAGTCAAACTGCAGCAGGAAGGCCGAGGAGGGTTGGGGGGCAGGAGGGAGGGGGGTAAGAGATCAACCGAAGGACTTGTATGCATGCATATAAGCATAACCAATGACATAAGACACTGGGGGGTAGGGGAGGCCAGGGGATTGTCAAGGGCGGGGAAAAAAAAGGACACATATGTAATACCCTTTGTAATACTTTAAGCAATAAAACAATAAAAAAATGCTACTCATTAATGAGTGATTGAAGTAAGAATTAGGGAGAAAAAGTTTTCTTCCCATCACATGGCTGCCTGCTGGACATGGTCCACGTGGCAGTGACAAGCGGGGGAAAGGAGTGGTTAACAATAAGAAACAGAAATAACAGAGGTTGGCTCTGGCTGGTGTGGCTCAGTTGGTTGAGCATCGTCCCATAGACCAAAAGGACACCGGTTCAATTCCCGTCAGGCACAGGCCCAGGTTACAGGTTCACTCCCCGATCTGGGTGCGTATGGGAGGAAACCAATTCACCTCTCTCTCTCTCTCTCTCTCTCTCTCTCTCTCTCTCTCCACACACTCACACACACACTCTCTTCCTCTCTCTCTAAAAAATCAATAGAAACATATTTGAACAAAGAAGCTGGCTGTCCACTCAGAGAGGCAGAATGGTGGCGGAGGGAGCTTTAGTGTCAGACCTGGGTTTCACTCAGCTCTATGCTGACTTCACTGCTTGCTTAGCTCCAATTTTATCTCCTACGAATGGAAGGACTGGTTGTCCTGCAAGGCTAACAGCACGGGGTTGAAGACCGCGTGGGAACGGCGGAGGCTGGCGCCGGCCCGAAGGGAGCGCCTCCCTAGCTGAAGGCTGTCCTGTGCGGTCCAGGAGCTGCTGGGCCTCGGGTGGGGCTCTGGCCGGTCAGAGGTCACACCGTCTTGGGTGGCCAAGTGACAACGCACAAGCGGAGGGGCCTTAGAGACGACTAGGAGGGTGAAGACGAAACAGGAGACAGATTTCTATCCTAAATGCAAGCGAAACTGCAGACCTAGGGAAGCAAACCCAGGCTTCTGCAGGGACAGACACCTTGCCAAGGGGACCCTCCTGAGAACACCCACCATTCTGCTCACAGCAAGAGACACGTCCTTGGGCGGCAGGTGGGACGCTCTTTCCAAGCTGTCTGTGTGCGGGTCAGTGACCGGCTCAGAGAGCTCTTCCTTCAAGCAGAAGAGGGTCGCGCAGAGAACACGAAGCTGCGTCTGTTCTCATCCGGCCCCACCACTGCCCGTGTGGTCCTCTGTGCTCTGCAGGCCTGTGCCAGCCTCAGGATGGAGCTGGGAGGGGCATGAACCCTCGCAGGTTGAGCAGAGCCCCCATCTCCACCCTCCCGCTGATCAGGCTCCAAACCAGACCCCACCCCCACTCTCACTCCCCCCCTGATCAGGTCGGGAAGTCAGTGTGGACCTTCTCCAGGTAGAAACCAACAGCCTCCCGCCCAGATGCTTGCTGCCCCGTTTTTGTTGCCGCTGACGGTGTTTAAGCAGGGATGCTGCTCACGCATGTGTTCATGCAATCCCACCCTTTTCTAAAACCCCTGTGACCCGATCGATCGCAGATTCAGGGCTGCTGCACCCAGTGCTGCCCTGATCTGGAGAACTGCGACGCGTGCTGTCCCTCTCAGGACACAGCCCTCCCCTCTGGAAGCTCCATTCTCCGGCCAAGGTCAGTCTCCTCACCATTCGGGGAGGATGTCTAAATTGGCACAATGGTAAGGGCTACAGGAGAAACATTTATTTATATCCCAGAGAAAATAAATGAAGTTTTTTTAAAAAAGAGGAAGCTCCTTAATAAGGGGCTGCCTGCTTACCAACCCCTCCCTCAGGCTTCACACACTCTCTTCGGGAGGAGTAGCTGGAGGGAGGAGTAGCTGGAGGGTGCAGTTCTGTGATGGGTCCCCCTCTACCCACCCCCACCCCGATCCCAGCTGCGCCTGAAGCCAGGGTTCCTCCAGCTCCAGCCCTCAAAGACCCTTTAGGAAACAGAGGAAGTAGGGACACAGACCAGGCATTTGGTTTTTAAGTATTTTTTAAAAGCTTTCCAATTCTGCTATTTTTTTTCTCTTCACATTCAATATTCTTAGTTGCTAAGTGGGAGGAAATGTGGGGAGATGGGAGAAGTGTGGAGAAACTAGGGGAAACTGGCAATGCGCACGCGGGTGGATTTATTTTCTCATTTCTAAAGGGGGCACAGGCAGAGGACGGTGCTCGGGCGCGGAAGGTAGCAGCGGCCTGGGAAGGGTCTCCTGCTCGCTGGGCTGTGGCAGAGTCTCCCCAAACCTGCTGCTGCTGATAGGCCAGGAGGGAGGGGCTTTGGGGAGCATAAATACGAGCATTTTCTATTTCTGCTTAAAGACTTAGAGGAGGAGAATTTTTAAAAAATTAAAATGATCTTTATTTTCAGAACATACCCACAAAAGGAAAGATAGGCTTCTCATCAAGAGGAGGATTTATGGTTACGAAGGGAACTCTTGTCTAAGTCCTGCCGCCCAGCTCTGCAAGAGACTGCGTGGCTTTCCAGCACGAGCCCCCTCCTGCTGCACCCCCATGGGGCCTGCGGTCCCGTCTGTTAATGTCAGTTCCCAAGGACCCATGCCCTTAGCAGGGCTCTGATCATGACATGTTTCTTAACTGCAGAAACTTCTGTGAAACAGAATCTCACCTGGAGCCCCACCTACACTCTGCTGCTCCCTGCTGCCCACCCCACCTTTCCTCTCCCCAGGCCAGCAGCTGGGGGCCACGGCCACGGCCACTGCCACGTGGCGGCCTCCTTGGGGGCCAGACTGAGCAAGCCACACCCTTAGTCCACATGTACCATCTGAGTCATACATTTTAGGCTCCCGACTTTTAAGAGCATAATGTGAGCTGGCCATACATCTACCTACGAGCTTGGAAAACACTCTGAATGTAGGAGCAGTTGTTTGAATTCACTGGAATCGTCACATCCCTGTTTGTTATATTATTGCCTGACAGGGCAGGCGCATCAGAAACCTAGACACGCAGCAGAAAGAACTGCCCAGGCTTGAACATGGCCACTGCAGGTTATGGGGTGTCTTTCAGCACATGCTAGGGGTGGACAGTGCACGCCCCCAGGTGATCTGCCTCTGAAGGGTGGGGCCCTAGGAGTGACTCCGCTGACCACGCCTGGTCCAGATACAATCGATTTCCACCTTGCACAGAAGATAATCCCAAACAATGTATTTCATTGTCCTACAGGACAGTGTTTTTGCATGTATTTGCAAATTTGTTTCAGCGTATCTATTTTTAAAGTCTTCTTTGAACAAGCCTTACCATTTTACTGATTCCCTCGTTAGCTATTGAGGTAGATAAAATCTTTGACACATGCTTAATTTCTATTTGAGTCACGATTTTAACTTTTTGAAAACAGCACTTTACTATGCCCATAGCAATTTCTCCTCTCCGTAGGAGGAGGTGGCCTCTTGTCCAGGCAGGTCTTTTAAATATTCCTGTGAGAATCCGATCTGGAGTATATAACAAACTAGCCTACCCATAAATCATCAGCTAGTCATCCATTGTGAGCTGAGCCGAGTGGCCACCATGGCAGCAAAAGCAAAAGAAACCCATGACCTATGGCTTCACCGGCCACCAGGAGAAAATGCCCTTAGAGAGAGAGCGTGGGAGGCTCCCCGCTGCCATCTGATGTGTGGGGACCTGGAGGGGCTCTGCGCAATGCCAATCAGAGGGCACTGAGGGGCAGGGGCCCACGTGAGCCCCACACGAAACAGGCCCCGCCGGCCTCTTACCTGGGGTTGGTTAGGTTGTAGCAGGATTTCCATATCTGTAGCATGTGCTTGCAAGTGAGCAGCGCCTCATCCGGGCCCCGGCACAGCGACTCCAACTTCACTTTGGAGAACAGCAGCCTGTGGTGGGGAGACAAGGAGAAGAGGACACAGCTGACACCCGAGGGAGCGGCCTGGGTCGCACTCAGGAGCTCCTGCACTCACGAGTGGGGCAGGCGTCCGAAGGCCTCACCCCCACAAGGGCTCCAGAGCTCCCAGCTCAGCGCGGGGCTTCGTCTGAGCTGCCCGAGGCCAGTGCAGGCAATGAGCGTGTGTGGTTGGGCGAAATTCATCCGAGTGGCTCATTTTATTCAGGACACAGGGATTTCATCAAGAGCATGCTTTTCCAAAACAAAACCAATTCTCCTGCAAAACTGCAAAAATTCATTGAAAGCTAATCTTGATTTGTCTACAAAATGACACAGAAGATGTGTGCCTCTTACCTGGGGTTGGTTAGGTTGTAGCAGGATTTCCATATCTGTAGCATGTGCTTGCAAGTGAGCAGCGCCTCATCCGGGCCCCGGCACAGCGACTCCAACTTCACTTTGGAGAACAGCAGCCTGTGGTGGGGAGACAAGGAGAAGAGGACACAGCTGACACCCGAGGGAGCGGCCTGGGTCGCACTCAGGAGCTCCTGCACTCACTCCAGAGTGGGGCATCCGAAGGCCTAACCCCCACAAGGGCTCCAGAGCTCCCGGCTCAGCGCGGGGCTTCGTCTGAGCCGCCCCCGAGGCCAGTGCAGGAAATGACCGTGGGTGGTCGGGCGAAATTCATCCGAGTGGCTCATTTTATTCAGGACACAGGGATTTCATCAAGAGCATGCTTTTCTAGATCAAAACCAATTCTCCTGCAAAACTACAAAAATTCATTGAAAGCTAATCTTGACTTGTCTACAAAATGACACAGAAAATGTGA